CATTTAGTTTTTGCAGATGCTGCAACCAACGATCCCTCTAATCACCCACTGATTATCAATTGCAACAGGATAAAGAAACATCTGACGGGAAAGAACACAAAGCGAGAAGCTTGAAACTTAAAAAATAGAAAACAAAACATTTGAAGAATTCTTATTTTGAAATCTGATGGGCTCCTTTTAGTGTGTTTACAATCCAAAAGCCGAGATGATTGGAATATTTGAGAATAAAGCCAATGGTCGTAGAAAAGGCAAACGTCCCCCTTTCTTTCTTCACCTCTTTGAACTTCAACTACGTTTAAAATTGTTTCCCTCCCAAGAGATTTTTTCTCTCATCTCTTCTCTTTTCTCTAAACAAATTCAGCTCACCAGCATTATTAGCAAATACAATTGTAACCGTCCAATCAGAAGACATGATTCCCGTAATAGAGTGGGAATGAAATAACGCACACAAAAAACAACTCCGATTCTAAACCTAGTCMTAGTGCCCCTAAGGCCTAGAAAGAAGCAGTAGTCGGAGGAAGAACGACTTGGAGAAGAACAAAACCAGTGGCGGTTCATGGTTGCAGTGGCACTCTCACTCATGAGACAGGCAGTGGTTGGAAAGAGAGGAACTTGAAGGGGGCCGAAACAGGGGAGAGAAAAATTTGAGAGCGGGATTCGTATGTATAAAAATGATAATAAGGGTAAAAATATCCTAATAATTATCAAAAAGGTATTTTGGGAATTTAAAACTCTTATAACAGTGAAATGAAAATCTTTTTCAATAATAACTGACGGAACGCTAATCGTAGGGGGGGTTTATCTCACGCTAAAATTCAGAGGGTCTGTGTCACAAAAGAAAGTATAGATGGGTATTTATAATTTACCCAAAAACAAACGAAGATATCCGGGGGCCAATGATTTTGAGCGCACCCTGGTTTTTGACAAACTAGGGGCACCCTTTACGAAGGGACAAAAATACTCTTAAAAGTAGAATGACAGAACTTAATTAAACAATGATATTTTTGTCCTCCCTACGAATTCTTTTTTAACCTTGGGTAATGCCTCGCCCAGAAAAATTAAGAAAAGAAACCTATTTTGTATAAATGTATTATTGTCATTCTTTGTTTGGTTTCTTGTTATATGCTATAAGGACCAAAGAGAAGAGGCAATTTTCTAATTGAACATATGCCAACTCTCTGACGCATCCATCATGAAGCAAGCAAATTGTTCAATTGTCCGGTAGAACAGATCAATTTGTGACACTATAACAAGAGCTTATGTTAGGTTTGAAGGAAAGAGTGGGGAAAGGAAGGGAAAGATAGAGAAATCGATATAAAGTTTGTAAAGGTTTTCCCTTCTTTCTCTTTCTTTCCCTACATTTTCCTTCAAGCCAAACATACCCTTAATGATTATAAATTTTGTATAAGTATTTCTACCTTTTAAAATAAATAGAGCTTAAGGGTGCAAGTCAGTTTACCCGAATTGTAAAATTTTCAACTGCACATCATATTCGGGTTAGGGATCAACCCATTCAAAATTTAGTAAATGATCAATCAACCTAACTTGACCCAAGTTGCACCCTAATTAGAAAATGATGGAGGTAAGATTTGGCTTTGGGGTTTGACTCCTAAACTTTATCAACTGAGCCTGTTGGCACAAGATAGGATCCTCTATATTCCATCAATTTTTTTTTCATGTCACATACTCGCATGCAAAGATAGACAAGAGAAGTTGCAACCAAATAATCTCAGTTCTTTGTGCTTTCTTACCTTCCTATTCATTAGGTCTTATAAGGGTTTAAATATTTAAATCTAATACAAAAATGCTCTACTTGTGGGTGAACCCTGGGGAGGTTTAAGTTACAGTAACCGAAGGGGTCTATAAGTCCATTTATCCCCAAGAGTCAAGGAAGGTCAAAGTTGAGGAAAAAAATACTTGAGTCTTCGAAATTGATAATTAGGTTGCATTTATGTTTGGGAGTTTACCAATAGGTTGAGTTCATATTTGACCTTGTYTTGTTTGTTTGTAAAAAGTAAAATACATGTACTATTATTAAAAGTGGGAATGAAGTCTAAATTCTAAAATTTTTGTTGACAATAAAATTCATTGTTGAGTTTGGTTGCTTTTTATTACAAAAGCAAAAAAAATATATAATTTGAACTACTTGTATTAAATTCATTCCACTCCCTACAGTTAAGTCATATATTTAAGGTATTAACTCTAAATCCCCTTTCATTAAATCCTACATTTATTGTATATTAAATAAATGAGCTTTGTGGACCTTTTTCTTGATTAAAATACTTGTACTCTTCAATTTGGTCTTTCTTTGTAAGGGTAAAAATGTAATATAAACAATTACTTTTCACTCCATTCATTTGCCTCTAATTAAGGTGTTAACTCCCATTCATCCTCCTTAGATCCTTTGTTTGAAGTACTTTTTGTTTCTCACTAATAAATTCTACAAATTAAATCTATACCCAATAATTTTAACAATATAAAATCCATGTGTCCAAAGTTCAAACCAAGCATGCAAATAAACTGTCATTTTGTTTGTGTGGTTGGTAGGTTGGTTAACAATTTGGGTCAAATGGACCAAGCCTTAAGTAGGGCTGTCAATGGGTCAGGTCTAGGTAGGACCATCCTCAAATTGATTATTAAATGTAACATACCTAGAACTATTCCAGTTAAAAGTTAGGTTTATCAGGACAAAATCATTGAATTGATAGACCCAATTATATTGAAAACTATATTTATTTATTTAAATAATAACTTAAAATTTAATTCTAACAATATAACCTTAATAAAAATAAAAAAATACTAAATTATTTATATGTTAATAAATTAAACATTTTAACTTACATTATCTATAAATTTATCATTTCAAACATAAAACATGATAAAAATTATAAGGAAATTAAGAAAATAGTATATATATATAATCAGTTTTGGGTCTGAATTGGTTCAAGACATGCAAGAACCAGAACGATCCAATTATTAATCAGGACAAAATCGTGGAACCATAATTGTTATAATCAGTATGGGTACTGGGTAGATTCAACCCATTGATAGCCCTACCCTTAGGTAATTCAAGCCTAGCCTAGCTACATACATACATATATAGGCACATATTTGATAACGTATATACATATATACATACATTTATGTGAAATTTTAGCATGGGGATTATTGATCAATCCAAGCTCGAGTTCAACTCAAATGCATCAAATTTCAATGCGGCTTGGGCCAAGTTGAACAGATCAAGCTTGACCTTGGGCTTGAACCTTAGACCCTTTGCATAGGGTTGAGCACAATCTCTACCCTAACTTGCACCTTAGCAGCTAAATCATTTGGGTAAAATGGGTCAACAAATGATGCCATAATTAAATAATAAAATATAAAAAATAAGTAGAATTACAAAAAAAACAAAAAAAATATATTAAATTTATAGAAAATTTTGACATATCTCAATTCTCAAATACTATCGGTTTGTTATATTAAACAAAGTTAAGGTGTGATAGACAATTGTTTTATAATTAATTATGAAAATGGAATAGAAAATTTAAAATTTCTCAACAAATGCGATTATTTTCTTTTTCAAGTTAAATAGGTCAACACATGATGTCATAATTATGTAATAAAAACTAAATAAATAGATAGAAATAAAAAATTATAGAAAAATACAAAATTTTCACACATCTTTAATATTATATGTTTATTAACATTAAACAAAATAAATACGATAAATTTGAAGCAATTTTATTAACAATGAAAAAATACAAAATTTAAATCCATTAACACCCCATACCTTAATTGCTTGTCTTCTTTAGTAGGTTTTAATAATGAAATTATTATATGTTATTTGAAATTTTCACATACAATGCATGTGCATATTTATTAATAATATAAAATGGTATGCTCCCACTTTACATGCAAAAGAATGATGAATGGAGTTGCAAGGATAATTATTTGTTTGAAAGTGATGTAGGAATCAAGGTGATTTGATCTTCACTTTATATTCGAGAGAATTGAGGTAGGAAACATAATTGTACATCAATTTTTGATATGCAAAATTTATACTATTAATAAATTCAAACGGGACAAAATTACAAATTTCATATGAAATAGCATTACAAATCATAATTACAAAACAAAAGATGTAAAGCTGAACCAGGTGCAAAATTAGTATTAGTTCAGATTTACGTTACAATCAAATGCAACCTTATAGTTGTGGCTTGTGGGACTGAAATCAAAATTCTCCTCGGTAGTAGCTGCTAATCCAACAACATTTGCCTAAGAAAAAATCTAAAATTTATTATTATTATTAAAATTAGGTAAAAAATCCCGAGTGGTTGAAATATCAAATTGCTGTAGCCTGTAACTGCAAGTGGGGAGGGTCTCAACTCTCACGTGTTCGTCTAGCACCAAACTCGTGCACGGCAATTATAATATGCCACGTCATCTTGATGGTGGGTCCATGTATCCCAGCATTTACAATCAGAAAAACCGTGATGCATTTGAACTCTGATAGCGCTATAATTAATTCCTAAACAAAAAATCCTTGCCACCGAGTAAAACGATCCGAAACTAGCGCTTCTGTGTCGTCCTCCTCCATTACCATTTTCAAACCAAAAAGTTTGGAATGGGTGGTTGAGATCATTGAACATGGTCTGTTAAGGGTCTGGATCTGCCACATCATCTTCTTCCACGTGGCAAAAATACGGGAAAAGTCCTGTTGGGATGGTCCCACTTGACCATTACTAAACGACAAAGATAGCAAGTTTGTTTTTATTCTAAAAAAAGAGTTAATAAAAAGAAGGTATTTTTGGGAAAGTATGAAAAAAAGGGAGGAAAATTAATTCGTGTGTGTATCGTGTGAGTGTGTGAGGCTGGAGCTGGAATTCTGGTTGCTGGAYAACCGCTGTGGACCCAGCGACGTCGTGGCTTTAAGAAAAAACCGGCTGTTTTGGAGCTTGGTCCCGTTACTCCGGTCGGGTGAGAGTTGAGAGAGATATATATTCTCATTACAAAAACCTTGTTATATCAAAAGGCCCGAAAACACAAATCCACATGGACAGTCTGTCACAGACGTGGTAATAGTGGAGGGTGGTGGTGGTGTATACTCACATCGTCATACTCAGACCGAAATAGGGCTCACTCACTCCCTCTCCTCCCTCCATCTCTCCTTTTTTTTTTTTTTTTTTCTTTTTCTCTCGAATCTTCTTCTTTCACTCTCCGTGTCACGCACCGGAGATCGAACTCTTCTCCTCGGTGGTAACTGGTAATGGCGTCTCTTTTGGAATCTTGCTGGCTGGTACTGATTCCACGTCTACTGCTGCTCTTGTTTTTACAGTTCGGATGTCGTTGTCGGTTGTTTTGCTTATGTTCTGCTTCTATTTCTTTTTTCCTTGAATTTTGATATTTCTTTTCTTTTTAGAATCTCTGTTTTTGTTTATGACGTTGTTGGTCTCGGATCTGTGGTGTCTCGACTTTTACGGAAATGTTTGTTTTCGTTTCATCTCGTTCTGTTTTTGAGATGGAAATGCAGGGTGATTTCATTTTTTTCTTTGATTGCTTTCTTTCTTTATTTTTACTTTTTTCAGTGCGAAGCGAGATTCTAGTTCGGCTATTGATGGCATTTTTTTTTAATTATAGCTTTGAATATTTTGATCCGATAATAATCAGAATTTTTGTTTGTAAGTTGTTTTTATTGGTATGGACTGATTCTGTAATGGTGACAGCTCGGTTTTAATCATACTTTGATTATGTAGAAGTAGTGGTTTAATCGTTAAACATAAGCCTTCAATGCCGTTAACATGTCCGCATGTCCGTCAATCTGCATGGTGCAATAAACAATTATATTCTATTTCTAGACAAGCTATAATGCTGTATTTTGTTTCAATGGTGGAATTATAATTCCCTTTTTTGTTCTCACTTTTGTTGTCTTACTTCCTTTCTCCAAAATTATTAGATTAATAGAATGTTACTTGTAAGTACATTTGTCTTCCTAAGGATACTGATCGTAGATCCTTTTCTGGGTTGGCCATGCGTTTGTATGAGAATTTCTGTTTAAACCGTCAAATCTTCCCCATCTTCTTGGGGAAAATGTTCTTCTGAGTTTACCTTAAAGAGATACATGGAGAGCGATATTTTTTCCCCCTCTGTGTGTGTGTTCATCCTGGATCCTTTTTATTTTCTTGTATTTGAATGCTTTCATAATCTCATTGGTACATGATGGATTTGTTATCTAATTGTAGTACTTTTCTTTGTTTATGATGTAGTATCTGATCACTCACTTCAGTGATTTTCAACTGGCTTCTTTGGGAAGCTTCTTCCTTCATGAGGGTGTCTTTTTCTTGTCGGGACTTCCTTTTATATATCTTGAAAGGGCAGGATATCTGAGCAAGTACAAAATCCAGGTGCTTTCTTCTCTCTTGGTTTTCCTTTTGTTTTGGATAAACACTCTTGGGTTTTTAATGAATTGGAATATGAAAGTGAGAATTTTACCTCTTTAGTATCCCATAACCTTTCCTTTTCAGTGCAYGTGAAAGCCATATACTGATATACAAAGCTGTTTAGGATGCCGCAGCTCTTAGAATGGCCACTTCATGTTATTTTCTATTTTTAAAATACTGGATCACATGTCACCAATTCCATATCCAAACAAAACCTATGTAAAAGGACACACTCATTGTGTTACCTTCATATTGTTCCCATTAATTATATAATTTTTATGGTAAAGTAAGGTAGATATTGAACATGGTCTCTTTCTTGCTGAATATTCCTGGTTTTCCTCCATGAAATACAATTTGATGTTTACTTTCCACTAAAATTTATAAAAATTAACTATGCATTCTTTAATCAGATCAACCTGACAAATGCTCAAATATTTGGCTCAGGAACTGTGTGTTTTATGTTTYTAGTACCTGCTATGAATTTCTTTTCAATTGCCTCAAGTTCAGTTCTATGATCAGACATGAATTCTGAACTCTGAAGTGGAAGTAATTGAAAGTTTGTAGAGTTCTTGTTGAATAAATTTACTTTTTTTTTAGTTTACTTATTTTTTAAACAATATTGAATGCCATTAAGGAGAAACTAATGGTTGTTTTTGTTACTTCTGGTCAATTGTATATCAAAAAGTGTAACTTGCTATTATTACATCAAATTGCTTCCATATATACATGTGTGTGTGTCTAATCTTATTTCCCATTTTCCTCTCTACAGTATATAACTAGAATCCTCTCACCCTTTGGTTTGAACTCTATTTGTTAATCTGATGAGTAATTTCTGGTTATTTGCAGTCCAAAAATAACACTCCTGCTGCTCAGGAGAAATGTATTACCCACCTATTGCTGTATCATATTGGTGTGAACTTGCCAGTTATGATTCTTTCCTATCCTGTCTTCAGATACATGGGCATGCAAAGTAGTCTACCATTGCCGTCCTGGTATTTTCAGGTTCTTTAGATGCTAAAGCTTCAAATTTCCAAGAATTCTATAGCAGCTCATGCTTATATTATTTTGAATGAACTTCTTTTATTCCTTCTATTTCTGTGTTTTCCATGAAGTAGTAAGCAACATGCAGTTTGGAGTGACTAGATTTTTGTGGTTTTTCAGGAAAGTAGTATCACTGCAAATATTGCTCTACTTTATACTTGAAGATTTTGTATTCTATTGGGGGCATAGGATTTTACATACAAAATGGTTATATAAGCATGTCCACAGTGTCCATCATGAGTAAGTATTATAGCCATTTCTAGTAATCAAAATATTTGACAAACCTTCATCTTAGTTGCTCTTCCATCAGTACACTTATAGGGGACTTTTGTCATGGCCAGATATGCTACTCCATTTGGACTGACTTCTGAATATGCTCATCCTGCTGAAATATTGTTCCTTGGCTTTGCAACCATTGTTGGCCCTGCTATCACTGGGCCTCATCTGTTTACTTTGTGGTTATGGATGGTATTAAGAGTTTTGGAGACAGTTGAGGCCCATTGTGGGTACCATTTCCCTTGGAGCCCCTCAAACTTGTTTCCTTTGTATGGAGGGTGAGTTGCTATGTTACTTGTTGTTGCTTCATTTTTTTTTCAGAAATCTTGGTGCTCCAGTTTGGAGCCTGTTTGTTTGTCTTTTTTTATACCTGAAGTATTTGTTGTAAAATTTTACAGAGCTGATTTTCATGACTATCATCACCGACTACTTTATACTAAATCTGGCAACTACTCATCAACTTTTGTTTACATGGATTGGTAAAGTTCTTGCAGCCTCCATTGTTTAAATATGGTCGTTCTTTTGTGGACTTCTTTTCATTTCTACTCTATTTGACATTTTACGCTTGTTGATTATGGTGTTTCACTTTTTTTTTACTAATTACTGGCATGGCAATATAATGTGATCATCTTGCCTTTGATTTTGTAATTTGGTATACATTTGATATACACCTTGTGTGCTTACTTGATCTGTAATCAATGATATGTGTGAATGCCATTTAGATGTGAAGGAAAGACTATATTTGTTCTTTGAACAACTAGTGCTAAACAACAAAAATTTAAGTAGGAATGGAAATGGTCCAAGAACTCATTTGATCTATGTAAGCCCAGGGCCCATCAGACAATTTTTTACCCTCAGATGTGGTACCATCCGAAAATTTGGTTTCCCCATAAATGCACCATGCAACTTACCAGTTGGAATTTTGGACCACACACAGTTAAAAGCTAGCACCCAAATCATAGTAGCAGAAAAGGATAACAATAACACTCCTTAGATGGCTAAGCTGACTTGGGTGAAAATTTAATTAGAAAATGAAACACCAAGGTCTTAAATGTGTTTATTGAGAAATACCTACTCTCATGGAAAATAGATATTTTCATAACTATGCTTGGGAAGTTGTAGGAGAATTGTATTTTGTGTTGCTACTAGCAAATTCATTTGCCTGATACCGGGCTTTCCAAAGAATCATGGAGGACACAATCAGGTCTTACATCTGTAATTTCTCCAACTGTTGCTGTAAAAAGGCTCGACAAAATTTTATAGTGTTTGATTGCAAAGGAAATGCGAGAAAGATAAGAATTGAAAGAAGAAAGAGAGAACGAAATGAAAGATTTCTTTTAGGAGACAGTGGGGCCAGTTTTGCTTTCTATCACCTCTTCTGCTTCTCTACCTTCTTGGGAAGGAAATGAAAGGAGGTAAAAGAGAAAATTTATCGTTTTCAGCCAAGAAGAAAGTTTCTTTCCTTTCTTCTACTTTATTTGTGACCAAACACAGTGTTTTTTTGTCAGTAATCAACCATTTTTACCCTTTGGACTTTGGAGAGATAAAAAGGCTTTTATCTCCCAGCTCATTCTTTTCTTACAATTGTACCCAGAAAATTTGATCTTTCCCCACCTCTTGTTATGCTAAAGTATCAGCCATACTATTTGTAGCCCTTTGCACCCATTGGAATCTCACTTCCATATCTCTAGCCAACCATCTGAATTTCTTAATTTCATTTCTGTAAGACCATAGAGCTGCCTTTCTCTCTGCAATAATCCAATTGACCATTCTTGAGTTTCCTTGAATAATTAATTTATTCAAATTCATTATCTTTGTGCTTTGCACTCTCCCTTAGAGAATCTCCTAAGCTATAATTGGTCCTGAGAACATTGTCAATATATGACCTCCCACATTTGTGAAGGTACCTGGTACCTCCTACCCCTGATGGCCCTGGATTTCCCATACAACCGTAGTGTTATTACTATCAAATTGGAAAATGCTGGTAATCAACTGAATTCAACTCAAACAAGCATTGTCCCAACTATTCATCAAAAAAACTATATGGGATCAGCTAAGATTCTGGTCAATTAGATTAATTGAATTATAAGAGTTGAAAGCAACATATAAATACTAGGGTTGCAAATGAGTCAGATTTTCATCTGATCCAATTTAAATTTGATCCTTTTAAATTGGATTCAAATATCTGATAGTRCTAAACAAATCGAATTTGAATATGCAAACAGAATTTGTGTACTTATTGGATTGAATTCAAATAGACGCTGATTTAATTTGATAACATCTGGTTGATTCAATTCTATAATGTATATGTATGATATATGTCAATTATTTATTTAGTTTAATTTGTTGATTTTCAATTTGATAGGTTAGCTTTTTTGATAGGATAGCTGAACCTATCTCTTTACCAAAAGCTGTACTTATTTTGTTATACATAGATAGTTTTGGACTTTTGATGAATAGCTGTATAGCTGCAAAGTTTCTTTTTTTGTTCCTTGGTTTTTACCTGCGCACCTTCCCTTCCCTCCTATCGCCCTCTCTCGCATGCAACACTGAACCGGATCTTGGCACAGGACAGTGAACCAAGGGTTTTTACCCATAAACTATTCCACAATGATTAGGATTGTACAGAAAACAGGTAATGGTTAGAATTGTTAATCCATATGAAATATGTGAAAGGAAAATGGGCAAGAGAGAAAAAGAGCCAATGGAGTTGGAACTGTGGAAGGATCATTGGAGATGATAGCAATGCAACAGAGATCGTGGATGCCAGGGTTCCTTTGTGCTTGTTGACAATTGTTTGTGTATTCAGGTTTAGTACCATAAGGGTACTGTTGTAATTTCTCTTCTGTTTATATTGTTCGACTGGACTAGTATAAATAATAAATTCATTCATTCACCCCCTAAGTTCTAGAGGGCTTTCAGTCACTCGACTCACCTCTCTTCTCTCTTCTCCTCTCCTCTCTTCACTTGCTCTTGCTCAACATGGTATCAGAGCAAGTCGTCCAGGCCTGAAGGGTGATGTCAAGCTAACTGCTGTTGCATCCAGTGCTGTCTCCAATCGAACTCCTAATCTGGTGAAATCAGTTCGACCCAGAAGTTACAGAGTCTTTTCGTCTTCCAGCCCAGAAGTTGCTCCTCTTGTCTGCTCGACTGTAGAGAGACTATTGTTTGAGGTTTGTAGAGGGTGTTCCATCTTCA